GTAATAGTTATATAGCCATTGTAATAGTTGTGGGCTTGTCAAAGTTACATAACATGCGTAATAGCCCTGACTGCGCAATAACTAACGGTTATATAATGGTTATGTGCTTGTCAAAATCACATAATAGTCTCGAGTGATGTAGTAACTTATGCTTAATCTTAGGTAGCATATCCAATAAATAATAAACACAATACATACACACAACTTTAAAATTTTATTAAAATAAAAAATATTACATTAAATGTTCCATGCCTCATATGAACCACAACAAAAGCTATTCAATATTTGACACCATTATTATCAATGGCTTGTATTGCCAACACTTCATAAAGATACATTTTCACTTCATTAATAAAACACAATCTGCAATAAGAAAAATGGCATTAGTAAAAATATAAAATGCAGCAAGAAGAAGAAACCTATTAACTAGTACTAGTTCCAAGTCCCACCCAGGGTTCAGTTCTCAATCCCAATGATCCTAACTTTATTTCACTTTTGCCGGTGAACTACAAAACTTGCAAAAGAGAAAAGTATTAGTAAAAATACAAAAAGTAGCAAGAAAAAGAAATCTATTAACTGATACTCACTTATACCAGTTCCAAGTCCTACCCGGGGTTCAGTTCTTAATCCCGATGATTCTGACTTCATTTCACCTTTGCCGGCGAACCACAAAACTTGCAAAAGAGAAAGAAGATATTAGTAAGAATACAAAAAGTAGCAAAAAAAAGAAACCTTTGGTACTTACTTATACCAGTTTCAAGTCCTACCCAGGGTTCAGTTCTTAATCCCAACGATCTCGACTTCATTTCACCTTTGCTGGCAAACTACAAAACTTGCAAAAAAGAAAGAAGGTATTAGTAAAAATACAAAAAGTAGCAAGAAAAAGGAACCTCTGGTACTTAGTTCTGAGTCTCACCCGGGGTTCAATTCTCAATTTTGACAATCCCGACTTCGTTTCACCTTTGCTGGCAAACCACAAAACTTGCAAAATAAATATTACTGTAATAAAAAAAAAGTTTTTATTAAGAAAAAATATGTATCTGTAGATTAAACAATCAGCCTGATCTGCTAACCTATACCATACTGATCTGCAAATCTACTAACTGCTAACTAACTGCTAACTAATCAACATGAAACTTTTAATTAACAAATGTTGTTCTTAGTACTGTTTGGATTAGAATATAACTAGATCAAGGAAGACTTAAAAGTTAGATAGGAGATAGTAATTTTAGTTTGTTATAACAATGATCTCTTTCAGTAGTTCAGAACTTTTTCATATCTATATATATTCTATTATAAATTAGGATCAATTTTTTAATAATGCATGTTAACATTGTCATTTCTGTCATAGAAAGTTAGAACAAAACCAATGTGGCAATGTCAATTCTACTTATTTTTGTATTATAATGCAAAACCCTAAAAGGAAGTTAAATAATACATGCAGATAGGAACTTAGTGGCTATTCCCTTTTTGGTTAAAGCCTGGCAGTATTGCTATTCAAATATTTAAATCTGCATATCTCTGCCATTAAATTGATAAAATATTAATTCCTTCAGAGCATGTCGGATGGAAAATTGATAGCATTCCTCTGTTCTTTAAACTATTAAGAAATTTAAAAGAATATTAAGAATTAAATTGTACAAAAAATAATAAGTGATACCCTGTCGATTAAACTATTAAGAAAATTAAGTGAAATTATAATAAAATAAACGTGGCAACTTAAGAATGTAAAATCAGCAGTATCTTACATCTATTAAATATTAAATAGGTGGGTTATTAAAATAAAATTCTTTCAGATGCATCATATCAAATGTAAAATTCGCATTATTCTGCCTGTTAACTGTTAAGAGAAAATTATATAAAATATAAATAGTCTTAAATAAAAGATGGAATAAAATTTTCTCCAAATGTATTAAGCGTAATTTTTAAGTATCTTTTTTCTATAATTGTTAGTAATGTTTAAGAATTAGAACTGTAATAAAGAATGATGAAATACATTGTACAGAGTTAGATGTACAGACACAAACTAGATATTGGTATAACTACCTCCTACACTTGAATGGATAGAATTACCTTATACTTGCATGAAATTCTAATGCAAATAACTAACAAAAGCACATAGCCAATTGTTAAATATATCGCTTATCTGCTATAAATATGATCGATAATTTTCTTTGTAATACAATAATTTTGCTGCTACTTCAAATAATAATATTTCGTTTCTTATATTAGCTTTTTCTCGTCATATTAAATTCTTTTTTCTCATAATTTTGCTTTTTTTTTAATTTGTCTTTACCAATATTCCACTTTTTTTCTTTTATCTTACCTTTTTCTTGTTATATAAATTTTTCGCTTTTTTTTTTATTTTGTTTTTTCCAATATCAAATAATATCTATTTCTTTTTTTTCTCGACATATTAAATTCTTTTTTTAAATTTTTCTTTTCTTTTTTTTTAATTCGTATTTTTCCAATATGCAAACTAGCTCTAACACTCTAAACTATATTTATAAATCACCTACAAACCTGTATCAAAGGTTTTGTAATGCCTATGCATATAATTGAATAGTAATTACTAAAAATTCAAAATATAAAAAGGAGTTATTGTATAATGAGTGTAATGATGAGTAAAAAGAAATAAAAAACAAACCAATACATAAAATCGAGAATATCATTAAAAATCTTACTCTTGTGATACCTATCATTCAAAACTCCAACACTAGTGCCACCAACCTCAATACTGCTACTCATATCTTTAATACTACTAATGTCAATACCGCTCATAACCTTAATGCAGCTAATACTATTAACACCAACATCCTAACCACTCAAACCTTTAATCTTGCCAACACCAATATCATTCAGCCTTCTTATAACCTCAGTGCTACTGATATCAATATCATAGAGTCTACCTATAACCTTGGTGTTGCCCCAAATAATATAGTGACTAAAAACAATTTAACATATATTTATAAATCATCTACAAACCTGTATCAAAGGTTTTGTAATGTCTATGTGTATAATCGAATAGTAATTACTAAAAATCCAAAATATAAAAAGGAATTATTGTGTAATAAATGTAATGATGAGTAAAAAGAAATAAAAAACAAACCAATACACGAAATAGAGAACATCATCAAAAATCTTACTTCTGTGATACCTATCGTCCAAAACTCCAACACTAGTGCCACTAACCTTAATACCGCTACTCATATCCTTAATGCTACCAACATCAATGCTATTCATAACTTTAATGCAGCTAATACTATTAATGCCAACATCCTAACTACTCAACCTCTTAATCTTGCTGACACCAATATCATTCTGCTTTCTTATAACCTCAGTGCTACCAATATCAACATCATAGAGTCTACTCATAACCTTGGTGTTGCCTCAAATAATATAGTGACTAAAAACAATTTAACATATATTTATAAATTACCTACAAATCTGTATCAAAGAGAAGGCTAATGGAGGTAGTTAGAACCAGATGGCTTAAATGGGTATCCTCCTAGTTGGGGTGCAGGTATGGCAGATAGTGTAGAACCTTTGGGCGGACTACTTAAATAGGTACTCAAAAGGTGCACATGTGGCTTGATGTACTATTGTTGTAATTACATATAAAACTTTGTCTATACTCTAATAAAAAGTTCCTCAGATCAAAGAGGTCACCTTAATACCAAAAAAAAAAAAAAACAAATCTGTATCAAAGGTTTTGTAACACCTACACATATAATCGAATAGTAATTACTAAAAATTCAAAATATAAAAAGGAGTTATTGTGTAATAAGTGTAATGTTGAGTGGAAAGAAATAAAAAACAAACCAATACACAAAATAGAGAATATCATCAAAAATCTTATTCCTGTAATATCTATCATTCAAGACTCTAGCACTAGTGCCGCCAACCTCAATACCACTACTTATATTCTTAATGCTAAAAACATCAATGCTACTCATAACCTTAATGCAGCTAATACTGCTAACACCAACATCCTAACCACTAATAGTTTTACTTATAACCTTAATGCAGCCAATACTACTAACACCAACACCCTAACTACTCATAATTTTAATGTTGCCAATATTAATACTATTCATAATCTTAATGCATCCAATACCGCTAGCACTAACATCCTAATCACTCATAGCTTTAATCTTGCCAACACCAATATTATTCAGCCTTCTCATAGCCTCAATACTACTAATATCAATATAACTCAGCCTACTTATAATCTCAGTTCTACCAATATTAACACCATTCAACCAACTCATAACCTCAGTACTGCTCCTGTTATACTTCCATGAATAATTGAGGAAATAATTGCACCTGATTCACCTCCAGCAAACATAGCAACGCAAAAGTAAGCTGTAGAAATTATTAATGATATGAATAAAAAGATCACCAAATATCAAAGAGCCTATAACTTAACGGATAACTTTGAGGCTCAAATCAACTTAATGAATAATATACAAGATTACAAACAAGTTCTTCATGCAGAAAATAAGAGAATTAAATGCCTACAAAAGCAAGCAGAGTATAAACGTAATAGTGTAGAAAAAAGGTTATTATTAATATTAATAATATAGTACAGTCACCTCCTATATAATCACTTCCTCTTTACAAGCACCACTTTTTTGAAAAATTATTGTCAATATATTTATTAAAAAAACTCTATATAATCACATTACTATTAAAATTTTATAATCATATCTTTTTTATATAAAACAATCAGCATGATTATAGAGAAGGACAACTGTAGAATAGTTGTATCTACACAAGAGCAAATAATTAAGAATAAGTAAAAACAAAATTAATCATTAATTAAAGATTTTTTTTTTTTTTAAAAAAAAAAAATCTAATCTACAAATTTTGTAAACAAATCAAATGATGATTGTTATAATAAGTATAAGCAAAAGAAGCAAGATAAAGCTATTCTTTGCTAGATAATTTGTAATTTAGAACTATTTAATATTGTTAAAAGTAATGAGTAGCAACAAATAATTTCTAAATTTAATTCAAAGTATAGATTTTGTAATTGTTATACTATAAGTAATCATATTATAACACTTTATTAGAAAAAAAAAGAGAAAATAAAATTAGTAGTTAGTAAAATTTCTAGAAAGATTGTCTTTATAGCCAATATGTAGATAGTATTAAATGGGTCTGCTTTTCTTAGCCTAACTATTCATTATATTGATACTTCTTAGAAATTATGTAATTTCCTTCTTGATATAATCCCAATAACTGTGTCTCATACAGATTTTAATATAGCAGATATTATTATATTAACTCTTTATAAATTTAATTTAGCTACAAAAGCTCTTGCATTGACAACTGATAATGCATTATCAATAATTTTATGTGATGCATTAATAATAGCTGAATTAGAAAAAGAATTTGATAATTTAAATTTTGCACATTATCAGTGTTTCGTATACATGTTAAATTTAGCAGTTATTAAAGAAATCAAACTAATTAATATATTAATTAAAAAAATAAGATCACTTATGATCTATTTTAAGTCTTCTCAATCTACAAATAAGGCTTTAAAACGTTTATATAAAGCAAAAAACATTAAATATTTGGCACCTGAATTAGATGTAAATACAAAGTGGAATTTTGTCTTTTATATATTAGTAAAATAGAAAAAACTAGAGTCTGTTTTAAAGCTACTTTCTATTGATAATCCAGCTATTGAACAATGATATCCTACTAAAGAAGATTATATCAAAATTAATGATATAATGCTTCTTTTAAAACTATTTGAACAAACCACTTGCTATCTTTCAGCATCATGATATCAAACATATGGGGCTGTTTGTTTTGTTTTTCTTGAAATTCAAAAATATTTATTACAATTTTTAAATATAAAAAGATTTATACAACTCATAATAGCAAATATGAACTATCAAAAACTAAATAAATATTAGCTAATTATAGATGAGATATTACAAATATCATCTTTATTTAATCAGAGTATTAAATCAAAAAAATTAAATAAAACAAATGATTTTAAATCTTTCAGAATATATTGATATATTTAAGTTATCACATTTATCAATAAACACTATAACTGATGATCTAATTGATGCACAAAATTATTTTCGATTATTATAAAGTAACAGTACAATCATTTTTCTTACTTCATTAAATTTACCTGTTATATCTGCTTCTACTTATATTTCTTCTATTTTCTCTGTTTTTTTTATTATTTTCTATATATACTACTACTTCTCTTTCTTCTATTCATCTATTTCTTTTGTTCTATCTGCTTTATCTATTTTTTCTACCTTTACTACTTCTATTCCTTTTATTTACTCTAATTCTATTCCTACTTTTCTTATCTTTGTTCTTTCTATTTCTTCAACTTTTAATACCTCTGCCTCTATTTATTCTGCAAATGAACAATCAAGTAGTCTACAAACAGAACTAGAAAAATATTTACTATTACTATTAGAAGATAATTCGAACTCATTGGTGTGGTGGCAAGCACAGAAAGAATATCTAATTTTAAGTTTAATTGCAAGAAATTATCTGACTATACAAGCTACTAGTATAGCTTCAGAACAAGTATTTTCTATAGCAGATCTTACTATTTTAGCAATAAGAGCTAAATTAGAAGATGAATCTGCAAGAGCGATTCTATATTTAAAGAGTTGGCTTCAGAAAGGAATTTGCAAATTGGATAGTTAAACATCCCTGTGCTTATTTTTTATATTAAATTAGCTTCATATATAAAATATATATTCATACTTATGTTGCTATATTTTTTATAATATAAATTTAATATATATATATTTTTTATAATATAAATTTAATTTGCATTATATTTTTATAATATAAAAATTTAATATGCTGTATTTTTTATAATATAAATTTAACTTGTATATATTTTTTATAGTATAAATTTAATGTACATATAATAAATTTAAATTGTGCTATATTTTTATAATATAAATTTAATATGCTATATTTTTATAATAAGATTTTTAAAAATTTGGCTGCTAATAAATAAAAATTTTAATATTATTCATTGAAAAATTTTAAATCATAAGACTAATTATAAGACCAAAAAGACAGACTGACTGAACTAAAAAATATTATAAAATTAGTCTAATAGGGACTGAAACTGACTGAGACAAAATGATCTATCTCTAAGTATAGAACTTGAGCAAACTACTTAAATAAATAACCAAAAGTTGTATATAACTAGTTGTATCTTTGTTATAATTGTAAGTATTGTTAATTATCTAATAAAAAATACTAGCTATAGAGATTATTTTAATACCAAAAAAAAAAATAGTTTATATATTAAGAAATTTTAAATATAGTCACACCTCCTAAATGCAAACCTTCTTTATATACAAATCATAGCTTAGTTCCAAGCTCAAAACTTAGTTACTCTCTATATTTTGTATATATATAAAATTTTAAGGTTTTGGGTATATATATATACACTTCTGTAAATGTATGCATGTAATTAAATTTAAAACTAGCCAATAACAATACAATCATATTTATTGTTTTAATATAAAAAAAATTGTATGACAAAACTAACAAAACTACAGTAGAGTTATATCTTGCATATACAAGTAAGATATTATAAAATAAAAAAGATTTACAACAAGTAAGTATTGTTAATATATATGTGGATTTACTTGTCTATAGTATTATAGTACAAAAAAAAAATTAATAATTTTTTTTTAAACCAAGCAAAAAAAATTTTTAAATCTTTATTAGATTAGATTGAACTTAAATATTTAAAAAAAAAAATTTATTCTACAAAAAATTGATTAATTTTGCTTTGTTGTATTTGGTATATCTTTGTTTTATTAATAAATTTTTTAATTTTTTCTAGAATATTAATGTATTCTTCTTTATTATCTTGCTAAAGCAAAAAAGTATATATAGTTTCTAAACTTCTATTTGCTATACTGGTACTAACTATAGGAAGTTTAAAGCTATCATCTTCATCTTTTATATCTTTTATATTTATAATTATTAGACTATCAGTTTTGAATATTTTAACAGTTTTCTAATAACTTTTTTTATCTGAAAGAACTTTATAGATAATATTTTTATTAGGTATTTCTAAAAATTCATCAACTTAAAAACTCTTTCCCGTAAATCCCTAGTACAAAAATTCTTAAAATTTCTAAAATACAAAAACGCAATTTACATTTAAT